GCGAATCGGTCCCGGTTGTGGCGGACGCTCAGTATTAAACATGTGAAAGGGCTACTTGAGCAGGGGACTAGGGTGTGACTTATCAAGCAAAAGGACAGGGAAGATGTTCAACAGCATCGAGATCGTCTTGTTGTATGAGATTAACCGCAGCCCTTCGAAGTTTGTGAATTGGGTTGTTTAAGGCCATCAAAGAGTGGGTGTGATGCAGACTGTGTCTAGTGGATGGAAGAAGGTTCTTCATTATTTTAATGGGCGGACAGGCCTAACGCTCATAGTCTTCATACCGCATAGTGGACAGGCCAACAATTTCAATGAGTCCATAGTTGTCTTTTCGAATGGCACAACCTATAAACGCTAACTCACCAAATTCACAAAGTATAGCTACAGAAATCCCATTGACAGAATTGGCGGACAGGAAAATGATGGATGCTAATGAGAAACCTAGTGGTAGTCTGGATGCGACGAAACAGAAAGACCCAGGATAACCTTGGTAGCCTTTCAACAGCTCACAGGAGATCAAATCGACCGAATGGAAGGACTACAATGAGTATCGGATCGAACACCAGCCTTTCGGCTGTGCATGACCCAAGGTAATCACATAGGTCGGCTGCTCCGCGACTGGCTCGCGACTTTAACGGTGGGTTACACAACCATGCGCCGGTTCGCCAAGTTTCGAGGTTCTGGGTATGTCTCACCGCCGCTCTCACGTCACGACCGGGTTACAATGTTACGCACACTGGGGAACCTCCGACTGGTGCCGGCGGCCGCACCTTGCCATCAACTGACGCTAGACTGCTTAGGCATCCGAACTATTTTGTTCCCAACGTAAGGGTGTAGTCGCAATATAAAGACCACCTCTTCGGTATTGGCCGGCTCCCAAGCACGGGATAGAACAGGCGAGCCTGAGCCACACAGTCGGAACACGCGCTTACGCATGCAGGAGGCGCTTACATCCCTTTTCCGACGTCCCGTAACCTGGCCCAGCTCCAGGTCGTCGTCAAGTGATGAACCTCTCACTAAGAGTTTGCCAAAGATGGCAACCTTCAGGTCCACCGGTCGTTCTCGAAAGCAATGTTGTGCGCGTCGTGGTACTCAGCCTCGGTCAAATGGCGGCTTGTCGGTGGCAATCTCGCCATAGTTGTGATCAATGTGATGAAAACTCTTCCCTTGTTTGGATACCAAGTCAACGTCAAGTTTGGATGTGGCTTACATGTGTCTTTCTTCTCCATCAATGATGACCAATGTAATGACAGGATCTCGGCCGCTTCACGTCGAGGTTCATCAAGCGTTCAAAACGCGTAAACCAGGATTCTCCATTTGGACGACTTACCCGACGGATGTCATTTTCAGCCTTCTAGTTGCGAGAAGTGCACCCCGCGGTTTTGATGTACCTCTTGGGCACTGTCAGAGGACAAAGAGACACCCAGTGGCGCAAGATCCCGTCGTCGTCATTGCTTCCATCAAGGCAGCGTCTAGACCACCTCGTGACAATTGCCCAACATTTTGTCAGTCCACAGCATCTCGTTGGTGATGGGGCGGCGCATCCGTGCTGTTGAACCAGAAGGGATACGGCGACAGGTATAAAGGGGGGCCCTCCGCCGGTGATGCTGTTCTGATTTCTTGAACACCATCACCAACAGACAGACAGAACTCAAAAAGCCATCTCAATAACCCAAGCCTTTCATTATGCACTTCGCTACCATCACCACCACTGCCATGGCAGTCTTTGTCGGGCTCGCCTCTGCTGGCATCCAAGCCCGCCAGGCACAGCCCACATGCAACCCTGGCCAGTTCATCTGCGGCTTCGAGCTTAACAGTCAGTAACGACATGCCTACAAGGACTCAGTTTGACTGACATTCTCCAGCTCTCGGACGTCCCCTTTCGCAGCGTGAAGACGCAATCCGCCGCAAGCAACTCGAGCCTACCCAGGTCCGCCTCGACGGCCTCTTCCGTTGCGTGACCCCCAGTGCATCAGCCCCTAACGGCATCGAGTACGTATTCGGTTGCCGCAACACTGCTGGCGTTGAGGCCCAGGGCCAGTGCAACCCGCAGTTCTCAAAGACTCCTACGGACCCAAACGCGTACTGCCGCAACGGCCCCCCCAACCCGGCTGCGAAGTAGGCGTCTTTCGTTTGGAAGTCCACTCTTGCCGTGCGGTTCCAAGATCAACAACAATCGCACGAGAGGTAATCCGGCCGAGGTTCTTTTCCCTTCTGATTTGTTCGCACTCATCACGCTGGCCAGCTTGTCATTCATTTGAGTCACGTCGTCGGTTAGTCCACTGAAACACGAATATAACTCTGATTTGGATCCAAACATGAAGAAACAAAGAAGTGAACTATGGGATGCGTGATAAAAAAGGCGAGGCCTACGTCTTGCAAACACTTGTCGACATCATTTTTCTATGTTGCCAAGTTTTCGTGCGTGCCGTCAAGCCTAGAGACCACGAACTCCATCTCTCCCTCATCTGATTTTGTCTATCCCTTTAGTGCCCGAATTCGGCCTCAGTACTTCATATGATCGACAGCCGAGTGGCAGAAAATAAAATTCGCCAATCGTGTTAAAGGATATAGCGCGCAGTACATCTAGATGCCTGTACGTTACCTATATTTCACAGATGTGCTCGCCCTCATTCCTGTACTGAACATGTAGCTGCTGAGGTCCACATCAAAGCTCTTCAGACAGGCGGTGATTAGTGTATGTACTGAAGAAAAGCTTGGGCACTAAAGGGATAACTTGTTAGGTTCAAGAAATGTAATTTTGCGCTGTAGACACAGCCCTGTTGCACATCTAAGTACACTGCAGCGAAAGCAATGGTGCCTCAGTTAAAGCGTTCGAGTCCTTGTGAGCCCCGAGTGTAAGACAAATGTCAGTGTACGGAGGTTGGTTTTGAAGAGCTGCTTGATGACTTCGACAAGCTGTTCAGAATGGCGAACCCAGACCAGTGGCCACTCTAGACGCGGCATGTCTCGAGGCTGGGACCGTATGCCTACATAGCTTACACGCTTACCTCGTGAAAGCTCGAGTCTTTTGCCTCGCATGTCCTCGTACGGCAAAGAGGCGCGGAACATCAATGACGCAGCTATCAGCAGACTGCGTCACCATACAGACCTGCCATCCAGCCTTCACATCTGATAGTCTGTTGTGCTCAAAGCATCTTAGTCCATGTGGGGTTGTGTTTGTGGATGGGTCCCTCACACCTTGCTGGGTTCCATCGAGCTACAACTGACAGGCCGGAACCCTCCCGGGTCGCACTGCCAGTCAGGTAAAGGGCGGAAGCGATAAGCTTTAGATGCTGAGAAACATACTGATACAAGACTGGAATTCTTTTGGGCAGTGGCGAGTTTGGTAGCGTTTCCGGGCTAACAAGGATTGGAACGACCACATGGGCAGCCTCCTGACATATGTCGAAGTAACACAACGGAGACAGCACAAAGCATAGCGCTTCTCCTACGGAGATATGATCTGACGAACTTGGCAAGGCAATCCCGGCGCCTGCATGGATCAGGCAGGTACAGCAGGCAAGGCAGCCATCGTATGATTTTGATCAGACCATCAGTCATCACGTGGGAATGCATCCAAGGCACATTGTGCTCGAATGTAGGTCTCGCATCGGGCTAAAGGATACGAACAAGGCAAAGAAGATATAAGGAGGATCTCAAGTTCAAGATAAACTACCCGTTGCTTGATGTTTCCCTAGACACCTGGCATCTGACAGAAGACTTGAGGCATCTTAGTGGTGATTGATCTGGTGGGGGGGGGGGTAGGGGGTTTGGTTACCAACAGCGGAGCACAGGCACACCCAGCTGCTGTACCCCGCCGAAGGCAGCACTAAACCCCCCCCCACAAGCTGTCACCCAACCCGTCAGCTCGTTGCAGCACGTCAACCCCGCCGAGCTGGGAGGCAGCTCAGCTTCGATAATAGCAAGTACTTCGCGTCACAGACGCCATGATGCAAAAGCCTCCCGCATTGTGCCATCTAATTACACCAAAAAGTACTGGCGTGCAGAGAATACCTTGTAGATCTCGGAAGTCCGACCACAGCCAAGTCCAAGTGGCTCAGAACACGCAGCATTGCATGTTGCCACCAACCTGGCACTACTGGCCCTGGCCCCAGGGCATGGTCGATTCTTCCACGAGACTCCGGCGGCGAATTCTTTTTCTTCTGCCATCTATCTTGATTGGCGAGGGCGACGGGACACGACAACGGCCTCCCACACCGACACTTCCCGTCGCCCTGCATGCTCGATGAAGGAGGCAGGCCGGGCAGCCACTGTCGCCAGAGGCTTCGCAGTTGAGGAAGGGGCGGGCAGCTATCACCGGCCCGGAAGGAAGGAAGCATGGCTCTTCATCAAGACTGGGGCAGCATGATTGGTAGGAGGCCGGGTTCAGCGCCAGCCAGGCCGCTTGCAGCAAGTACAAACCCAAGGAGCCGCCTGGATGCAGGCTGGCCACTTCGTTCCTACCAACGAGCGTGAAGGAAGGCCCTTCCGCGTCACCTTGTCACCACCGTAGCTTCCTTCGATGTACCGTCGCACCACACGAGATATGGCAGGCACAACAGCTCACGCCCGCGGGTGTACCTTCCGATTGATGCTCCGCCCTGGGCCCGATTCCAACCTTATGCCCTCGTAACGCGACACAGCTGGGGAGGATTAACTGGCGGTCTACGGTGCCCGAGTGGCTCGCGAGGCCTCGGGGCTGGCTTGGGAAAGGACCAAGACGAGATCATCCCGTCCCTCCTTCTCCATGCACTCACACCAAGCTCTTTCCATTTAATACTGCAAAGCCGCATTTCCCCCTCGTTGTCTGTTCAGCTTCTTTGTCTCGCCCTCTTCGCCTCCATGGTCTTGCTGAGGCATCCATTGACCGATCAGTACATCCACTGACCTGCACCTTTGCATCTTGACTCGAACAGTCCACTCTGCTGGGATATTGCAAGTTCGTGGCTAGCTTTCACCCAGAAACTCAATTCATTCTCTTCCCCGCGTCGGCCGCAATGACGCCCACACAGGGCCGCAAGTTCTCAACGGGCACCTCGGTGCACCGGAAGAGACAGATGAGCACCATGCACGAGCAGGGCAACACCTTTGGCCCAGCATTGACGGTCAGCAGCCCTACACTTAGCCCCTCTGTCATCCAGCTTACCTGTGTACCGGTTTCCGTCCTGGAATTATTCTGCTGACGTAGATGACTCTTAATCAGACTCTCTATGTTGGCATTTCGGCTGTCTTTGCCGATGATCATACTGCTGTCGTGGCCACTGCTGTCCACGATACCGTTTACCTCGTTGACTTCACCGTCAAGAATGTTGTGCTTGACGATGCCCTTCGTATGGGGGAAGATGCCATTGCTGACTACGTCATTTCTACCCTCGAAGGCTATGAGCGGGAGAACTATTCCAAGTTCATCGGTGCCGGCCTTCCCACGACCCTCAAGTACATGAGTCCTAGCCTATGCTCGCGTCTCTGGCTCGAGCTCGATATCGTCCCGGTTGTCACTCGTCCCGACGATGAGCACAAGGGGCAGAACTTTTGGGACGTCAAGCGGGTTGACGAGCAGGCGGACTCGATGGCCCGAAAGTGTATCATGAACTTCGGGCCGTCCCTGGTGCCTCTTCTGCAGGTTGGCTTCCGCGGTGTTGTTCAGACCGATGCCGGATTCCGTGTCCACCTCACCACGGTGCAGAATCACAAGGATACATGCGGTTCTGCCACCTGGGATGCCATGATGCACTACGCCACCAAGCTGCGAACCAACAACGTCAAGGTGGCCTTCTTCAGCAGCACCCCCCAAGGTGGCGGTGTTGCCCTAATGCGTCACGCTCTCGTACGTTTCTCCCGAATGATGGGCGTCGATCTGACGTGGTATGGTATGTTTGCTCCTTCCACCAACGCACCGGCTTACGTGTCCGCCTCCCCCCCCCCCCCCCCCCCCCGGCCCGGCTCTGTCACTAATCAAAACTGCAAAGTGCCCAAGCCGCGCCCTGGCGTCTTTCGCATCACCAAGAACATTCACAACATCTTGCAAGGTGTCAGCCACCCCGACCAGAGAATCAGTAGGGATGAGAAGCAGAGTATTATCGACTGGATCACCGACAATGCTAACCGATATTGGCTGTCCGAGGGTGGCCCGCTGCGCCCCCCCGAGGAGGGTGGTGCAGATGTTGTCATGGTGAGTCTCTCCCCCAACCTAACCCCCCCACTCCCTCCGGCCGGCTTGCCACCCGGGTGCGGGGAATCTAGATCTCGCCTTTAGTGGAGCAATCGGCACGCTCCCCACGATAGTTCTTGGAGCTTCAATCTGGCAACGGTGCTGACGTTCGATCCCTAGATTGATGATCCCCAAATGCCTGGCTTGATCCCTTTGATTAAGAAGATTACACCTAAACGACCGGTGTTGTACCGCTCGCACATCCAGATTCGCAACGACTTGACCACGAAGGATGGCACGCCGCAAGCTGACATTTGGGACTTCCTCTGGAGCAATATCCAACATGCCGACATGTTCATTAGCCACCCAATACCCAAATTTGTCCCCCACAATGTCCCATCGGAGAAGGTTGTTTACTTCCCCGCCACCACTGACTGGCTCGACGGCCTCAACAAGCCGTTGAACGAGTGGGACACTGGTTACTACGGCCATATCTACAACGCTGCCTGTCACAACCAGCGTATGACAGAGGTTGCTTGGCCTGCACGCAAGTACATTATCCAATGTGCCAGGTTCGATCCCTCCAAGGGCATCCCGACCGTCATTGACTCTTACGCCGAGTTCCGTCGCTTGTGCGACGAAAAGGGCGTAACTGAAGTCCCTCAGCTGGTAGTGTGTGGCAACGGCTCGGTGGATGACCCGGACGCCAGCATGATTTACGACCAAACAATGGCTCAAATCGAGGAGCACTACCCTCATTTGAAGCAAGACTGCAGTGTCATGCGCCTCGAACCTAACGACCAGCTCCTCAACACTATGCTGGCCAATGCACATGTTGTACTCCAGCTCTCCACACGCGAGGGCTTTGAAGTCAAGGTGTCCGAGGCCCTCCACGCCGGCTGTCCTGTCATCGCCACTCTCGCTGGAGGCATCCCTCTCCAAGTCAAAGACAAGGTCAACGGCTTCCTAGTGGAGCCTGGCGACTGGCAAGCTGTCGCTGGCTACCTTCTTGATCTGTTCACAGACGACGAGCTACATCAGAAGATGAGCCATGCCGCAGCCACGGGTGTCAGTGATGAGGTCGGCACGGTAGGCAATGCACTTGGTTGGTACTACCTAGCATCCAAATGGGCCGAGGTTGGCGTTAGGCCCGGCCTACGAGGAGATAGAAAATGGGTTAATGACATGGCTCGCGATGAAGCTGGCAAGCCGTACGCCGATGGCGAGAACCGTTTGCCTCGGCATTTCACCCAGGAGCCGAATCTGCCAAGTGTGGAAGGGGAATCTGTTCAGGCTTGATTGATCCCAAGCCAGTGGTGTGCAAAAGTTAGTCGGTGGACAGGTCGATGATGTCTCTTTGTACGATCAACCCGCCAAGTGCTCGGGCAGCATATCGATCAGGGTGCAATCGTCTGCCTGGTTTTGGTCTGCATTTCCTTATCTTCTGTCCCTAATGTTCCTTGTTGTTTGCTTGTTAGACACAAAGTACCAGGTTAGAAAATACATACAACATGTCTGATTTCCGCCCACGGCTTTATTGGCGCATCGTGTCGGCGTCAATTTCGAGCTCCGGGAACGCGCTGGGGACCGATGTGGCTCGCTGCAAATGACGTCTCACGGAAGTTTTGTTGTTAAAGAACATTGGATTTAGCTGTAACGTCCTGACATCAAACCGTCGGGGCAGGTTCAGTCGCCAGGCAGCGCAATTTAATGTTATGCCATTGGCTGTGGACTTCTGGAGGCCTCGTTCAATGGCCGAAAGCTCCGAGACTGTTCGGAATATAATCATGCCATTGGGACATAGCCTTCGGGATAAAGAAAATGCACACTGTGCTTTGGAACTATAACAGGTATCCATGAGTCTCGAAGCAAGCAGGCTCAAACGAAGTATCGCCTGTATTCCCAACACGATTGCTCTTCTCAAGGCCTTGATCGTGCTCACCAAAAATGTCACTCAACCCAGCACAAGCAAACTTCTTAGGTCCCTTCCACCTTGTTACATATTCAACACTTCTCGGAACACAATTGTTCCAATCATTTATCAATACCAAGATTTGCTACCAAGCCCTGCCCCGGTCTGCGTTCACAACACTTCAGAAGCGCCTCTTTCCAATCTACTTCAAGGTGCAATCTGTTCTCGTCCTCACTACAATTATCACTTATCCCCTGGGCCCCTTTGAGCAGTCCGAAGGATCTTTTACCCTTGATTCTAGCTGGCATCACAGCATGTGCCAATTTCTTTGTCTTCGGACCTCAAACGTTGACGACTATGGTTTGCTGCATTTATCAGGGTAGGTTAAGCTTCGTGCGGTTTAATAACTATGGAAGCACTGAAGATTCACAGAGACGACAGACAAGAAGAACGGCATACCTGCAGGGGAGGCGAGTGAAGATATGCGAGCTTTTCGCAGGGCCTTCTCGAGAAACCATGCCATGAGCATTCATCTCAATCTGCTTACGATTGGGAGTATCCTTTGGTATGGCGTTCGACTAGGCATGCATCTTAATTTCGCGGATCAATCGCGTTGAAAATGGCATACGCAGTAAGGAAAACAATGGGCACGATACAGTACGGGTCTGGTTGCGGATGTTGGACACTCATCCGAGAACAAGGGTGGGTTGGTTTGGAAAAGTCATCGTGTTAAATTAAACGGAAATCGTCGACGATCCATTGCAATGCCCAATTCTCAATGCTCGCAGAGATTGAAAGAACCGAATTGGTTCTCAACCGCTTCCACCATGCGTGTCCTTTCTTTCATCAGATCCAAACGGAGCTCCTTTGCCCTCTTGAGACTCATCGGGTAGTCTGAAACTTCCTCGCCAACCATATTGACAATCTCCTGGGGGAGGCCCCTAAAGTTGTACTCGGCAAGCCTCTTCTCGGCCCACCAGTCGTGCTGCTGGGGCGGCACATTCCTTGTCGAGCAGATGCGGTTGTTGGGATCCACGAGCCATAGTACGATGAACCTGCGATGCCCCGGCTTGGTGCGGTCCACCAACCCGAAAGAGCCAACAGCATGCTGCAGGGTGTTGGGGAACACGAGCATGCGGCCCTGGCGTGTCGAGACGCTGCCGAGCTCTTGGATCGCCGCCGACGAGTCAAAGCTTTCTACGCCGAAGATTTTCTCGAGGCCCTCAAATTCGCCTTGCTCGTAGGAGAAGTCCATAGCGCTATCTTCGCTCTCAACCTCTTGGCGGAACGACAGTCGCGACTCTGTAACGTTCTCGACGTCGTAGTAGTAGATGGCCGTCGCTACAATGTGCTCATTCTTCATGCCCTCGACGTGCCAGCTGCCGCCAGCGTAGTCGGGCTTTTCAGGGGTAAGCTCGATCGAAGACAGTTTGACAATGACCTGCAGGCCTCTGTCTCTGAACTCCTTCTCAATGGCGACATCGTAAGGTTTCTGCTTGGCGAACTCGTTCTCCTCCGTATCGGTGGTCGTCACCTCAATGTTGCTCGAGTTGATGATTGGCTTTTTGGAGCCCTCCTTCCACTGCTCATACGTGGTGCTCGTGCCAGGCTCGGGGTGAGGGAAGTGGCGAATGCGTTTCCATTTAGCCGTGAGGGCCTCTGAGATGATTGACTTGAACTCGTATCCGTTGCGATTCGCATGACTGTCATCCTCGACGATCGTCTTCAGCCGCGCCAGCAGAAGAGTGCCTGGCACCGTTTCTGGATTTGCCGGCCAGTTGACTTCCTCGTCCGAGTCATCTTCGTCAATCTCGTCGGGATCCCTCTCAAAGTCCGCACGGTCTGGCTGCGAGAGATAGGCCTTCACGCGTTCCCAGAGCTCGGGAAATGCCGCGTCATTGACTGATCGGGCCTCCAGATTCGTGTATTCCGCCCAATCCGGGAATTCGGGCTCCGTGCTGGCGCCGTACGTGAGGATCCGTGGCGGAGCGCGGCCGCTGTGACTTCGGACGAGAGCCTGGTTGAACCAGGGCACGGAAAGACCAATGAGCTTCTCGATGGTATGGTACAAGCTTTTATGCTTCTCCGGGTGGAGGTTGTTGATGTAGGACGTAATGTGGACGTCTGTCCCAGTGTCGCCCTTGAACTCAACCTCGCAGGGCAGCCACTGAAAAAAGCTAGACCAGAACCTGCCATCGATGTTGCGATCGGCGCCAACGATAGGGGCCACCTCGCCGAGGCCGGTCGAGGCGAGGAGGTCATTCAGATCAACGCGACCCCCCTGGCTGAGGACTCGAGTGATGCCGTAGCGTAGCGCAAAGAGAGAAGGGTGGACGAGGTTCAGAACCTGGTCGTTTGAGCCAGGGTGATAGTCCTTTTGCTTCTCGGGGACGTTCAACAGCGGCGCAACCCCGGCTTTCAACTCGTCCGTGAGTTCGGGGCTGACGACGTCGTCGCCCTTGACGCATCGGCTGGCCGTGTCGTAGACCAGAACCGCACCAGTGGCCTCAAACGCGGCTGCCTTGTCGCGGAGCTCTTCAACGCACCAGTCCCAGGCCTTTTGGCTGATGAGCTCGTCGATGGCGCTGGCCTCGGCGAACCACTTGCTGGTGATGTCGTCGTCAAAGATCTTGACTTGCCAATTCGGCTTGTCCGTGATAGCGTCCATGAGACGCATCATGGCTCGTTCGCGGACTGTCAGAATGTGGGCACACCAGCCGTTGATGCCATGGCTGAAGGGACCGCTTTGCCCCGGGTGGGAGTATGCGGCTTCGCCGGGCTGACATTCCTCGTCGAACATGACACTGTTGAAGCCCGGAACTCGTATAGGACCATTTCCCGAGTTGTCAAACGCATGCTTACTGACAGTATCTGAGGGAGCCATGCCGTCGAACGAGGTGAACGTACGTGGGAGGAAGAAAGGGATCCGAAAGTGTGAGAGTGTCTTGTGGAGGTAAGCCCGCATGTGTATCGTGTTGGCTGTTGAGAAACAAGACGATGGTTCCTGGTCTATACGTTGACCTTTTATGCTGAGGCGATACCCCTCGTTCTCAGGATTCTTCGCCAGTAGCCTCCAGGCTGCAGCTGTGGGTCGGGTCGTCACAAGTCAAGGATGTTGAAGCTTGAATGGTGATTGTTTGTTCACGATCAAGGCGGAGGAGCACGTGGTTCAGCGCCCGTCGTGACACCCGCCGACATCGCGAGGAGGGGAATTGTTGCCTGCGGCTGAAGGCCCGTGCAGGAGCTGAAAACGCCCCTTTTATCAGATACATTGTGTATCACCCGTTCCTGAATTATCGTTATGCCGATCTCTTATAGATGCATTATTCCTCTTTTCGGTCTCTCATCAAGCCGTAATTCCCTCTTCCTGCTCGATCTGCTCTTTTTCCAGGCACCATTTGTCCTGCAGCTTCTTGTCTAGTGTCTGCGCGTACACCTCCTTTGGCCACCATTCACCCCAACTAGTCAGGAAAATCTGTTCGGGGTCTTCCGGTAAGTCGTCGCGGTCCAGCGCGCGCAGAATATTCTCGGCGCCTTTCGCCCTTGTCAGTGCCTCGTTACGATGATCTGATCAGGTCTAAGAGGGGTCAAGCGGCACACACCTTCGGGGATGGTCTTGGCATCAGGCAGACCAGCGGGGATCATTCCTCCGCCCCGCCCCAGGCCCGTCCCTGGGATGAGACCTGGCGAAACAGCCACGACGGTGCATTGTCCGGTGAGTTGTCGCCGCCACCATTGCGCTGCCAGAAGGTTCACAAGCTTGCTCTGGCAGTAGACTGTGAACGAATTGGCTCCCGATCCGCCGAGCAGGTCTTTATCGAGCGCGCCTGGCCGTTGAGCATTAGCAGATAGTTGGGCAAGAGGGCAATTCCGGCAGAGAGCCTACTGATTTCAGGAACATTTCGCACTGCACCCGAGGAGACGAAGACGACACGTGATTGGGAAGCGACCAGCTTTTCGCGTAATTGGTGCAGGAGGTAGTGTTGTGCTTTCGCTGGTCAGCAGTTCGTCTTTCACCTTGAGGTGCAGGGAACGTATACGTACAAAGATGATTGACGATGTAAGACTCGCACCACTTGGATCCATGGGGGCCAGGCTCCTCGGCGCTGTTGGAGATGGCGGCATTGAGCAGCACGTAGTCGACCTTCTGCTGGCCCAATGTCTCGAGTGTCTGTTGAGCAAAGGTCTTCACACCCTTGAGGTCTGCGAGCTCCAGAGGCAGGACCGTGACATTGTGCTTGGACTCGTCGAATTTGAGGTCCCCAAATGCCTTCTGGGCACCCTCAGCGTTCCGCGCGCCTAGGATAACGCGGTAGGGCTGGGTTTGCTGGAGAAGCTGTTTGATAGCTTCGAACCCCTAAGAGGTGTCTGTTAGTTCGTGTCCAGGATTCTAGCATTCCCCGCCTTGCTTGGGGCCCTCCATTGTGGTCCCTCGCAGGGCACGACTCACGAGTCCAGAAGAGACGCCCGTGGCGACGATGGTTTTCGCGAGTGCAGACATGGTGGGGGAAAGACCAGAGGCTGAGATGAACGCAACAAGCTTGAATGAGCAAGCTGGACCTGGGGAAGCTCTCAGTCTTTAACATGAAGCTCAGCTGGGAATGTGGGGCTACACAGATCCATGGACGCGGACTTAAGCCCTGGAAAAGCCCCCATGAGTCCATGACGCATGCAGTTCACCAAGTAAAGCTCTGCGACGCTGACCAATACAGAAAAGCGGCACAACGGCAATCTCACGTCAGAAAAGACAGGCAGTCATTTCATTTGCAAGTAAACAGCCAGAGTAGCGGGTGAGACATGGGCGCCCTGGATTGGTGTAAGCCGACTGCATGAAGCGGTGCCCCACCAGCAACCAATGTAAAGGCGACTAGCAGATCTGTGTTGCCAAAGTCGCTGCGAATGTTAATATTCCAATTCACACATGCAAGCAATATACGTTCAGGAGGCTTTGAGCTCTGCTAGTTAGTGAAACTTGGATTTGCTCGGAGTGACTGGGCGTTACTTGTGACCTTGGAAGATGACGTTTGGAACGCAGCAGTTGTGATCACGAGAATGAATCCACTTGCGACATCGCACTACGGACAGTCCCGAGTAAAGATGGTGTGAATCCTCAGCTTCATTCATTTCGCGTTGCTGATATGCTTCCTGTAGTGACTTCCTTGGGCAATGGATATGCACAGTTCTTCTCCATTGATATCATTGTTGTCGGGGCAAAGGGCCAAATCTTCCCTTTCGCTCTTGCTCGGCCATCCATTTATCAGAGCCAGCACTCAACGACGGATCTCATGATATTCAATAGTGTCCCTGGAGGTGTATTTGCCAATAACACCCTGCCGTCCGGCCGACTCGTCGTTGCCCATGGCGAGAGAGCCTGCTTTGCGAGGACACATGCAAGCGTCGTTGTCACAAACAGAGTTGCGAATAGGGTTCCATCGATCGCAACTGACAGGATCCTGGTCGCGGCTCTCGATATTGTTCTTGCACTGCCAGTGCTTGAGGTCAGCCTCTCCGTATTTGGTCTGACGCATCTTGATGATGTCGTTTGATATGTTTAGGTCTGCTTGAAAGGGTTGAAGTTTGTTGCTACTCTGATACTTGGTTCTTGAGAGTATTTTCTTGTGGTTTTGGTGTTAAACTTGAGAGTAATTTCTTTGTTATTTGGTACTAATCTTCAGAAACCAGAAGTCAAAGATACGATTTTATACATCCTAGCGAAATCTTGGTAGCTTGGGTGAATGGCTAGAGAACGCCCTTTGCTGGTGATACCGATCTGAACTGGTGAATGGAGGACCACCAATTCACACTCTGAGCCCGCATGAATGTCTGGCATCTTGTGGTACGTCAGGTCTGGAATATAGTAATCACAGCTTACTGAGTTATGATTGTTCTTGTTTTGGTGTTCAGTACTTGGTCTGCACTCAGACTTGCAGCAGGCCGCATCAATCAGGTGAATTGCTTGACTCAATCGAAATTCAGTCCCTGTCTTCTATGGCAAGCACCTGGGCCCCGATTTGACGAGAAATCGACACACACAGCCGTTGTAATGACTGGAAATAACTGATGGAATAGTCACTGTCACGGGTTAGACCCGTTGAAGTTGCGTAGGTCTGGGGTCTGTAATTCTATGAATGCGTCCCAGTTGAATCAACGCCATATCCTTTTTTCTCAACTGGGCAGCTGCCGTAAGGCACTTACGACTGTATTAGGGCTGTCCCTAAGCCCCTCTAGAGCCGGCCACAACAGTCACTTACGTATTTGATGTTTTACCGAAAGACATAGTACAATGGCAATTATGGGAGCAATAAGTTGACAGGAATTGTGTCGGTTGGGTAGTCAGAATTCATACTTGGGGGATTTCCATTGACTCTCTCTACTGAAAAATGGCCAGCAGCCATGGCTCAGCAACATCGTCTAGGCATTGCTTTACGTTGCTCACTAAGATTCACCTCGCTGTAATCATCCTGATCTGCCAAGGTACGTCTTAGTACACCACAAGCACTTCGTTTATGAGACTCTAAAAGCTTCGTACTAACTGTAGAGCCTGAGCCAGAGTCAGCCAAACTGTCTTACCATTGGCATGATATCTTCGCATCCGACGGATACTTAACACACCACTACAGGCTTCGCTGACTTCCGTCGGCTGTTCTTGAGATCGACCTGCATGCTTCTCAATCGGAATGCGGGGTCTCTGCAAACTCTCCAGGAAATAATCCTTTTCGTGGGGTAATCCAGCGGTTAATAGGCTGATTCGTGGCGATTGGCGAGCAGATTCGCCGTATTGGGGCATGATGCCCCCAATACTACTCAGCTCGGTCCATCTATGAACGAGACAGATCTTCCGAGCGATCAAGGTGGGAGAGTGTAACTAGGTAAGTGCTCGGGATCCAGAAGTTTAAAAACACTGATATCCGTCTAGCTGGGCCGAAGTGTTCATGACTCGGCTCGAGCCGAATTCCCCATCCATTGTCGTCAACATGAAACGTTCGCTGACCTTTCTCATCCTCTGCCTGGCATTGCTTTGTCTCGGCAAGAAATCATGTCGGTCTGACGACGATTGTAGCCTGAACGGCGTTTGTTCCTGCAATATGGGCTGCGTCTGTGATCCAGGCTGGCGAGGTGTTGACTGTAGTGAGTTGGATCTCCAGCCTGTCGAGAGGTACACAGGCTACAACTACACCAACATCACCATGGACTATTACTATCGCGACGGAGGCGGAAACTCCTCTTGGGGCGGCCAAATTATCCAGGATCGAGAGGATAAGAAGCTCTTCCACCTGGTCATCGCCCAATTTCCCTACGGCTGCGGCCTGTCTGGATGGCGGCCTTTCAGCACGGTGATCAGAGCTGAGTCTCGAACTGGTCCTCGAGGTCCGTATCACTTTGCACAGGAGCTGTTCAGCACCTTCCATCACAACCCAACGACGATATGGAGCCCCGCCGACGAAATGTACCTCATGTTCTTCATCGGATTTCCTTGGGAAGTTCCCGACACCTGCAAGTCGACGAAGAGGAACAACACGATTTCCGTTTCTAGTTCGCCCGACTTGCGTACTTGGGGCGAGTCCTACCCTTTAGTCGTGAATGTCACGAACCCTGCTGGTTGGCCTCTCTGGACGCCAGAAAATCCAACATCGGAAATTCTCTTGGCCGCTGAAAAGAACAACATCTACCATTCTGACAGGTGGAATGGACCGTACGAGCTCGAGGTAGAACCCGGCAACATTGAAGTTCACCCCAGTCTCCGCAGCGAAGACCCGTTCTTGTGGCGCGATAAACGGGGTCATTGGCACATCCTTCAGCACCACATGATCGATATCCCTGAGGCAAAAGGCCCTCACGTTGGGGCTCATGCCTATGCCAGAGAGTGGGAGGGTCCGTGGACATATAACAACATCACGCTGGCGTACAACACGACAGTGGAGTTTACAGACGGAACAAAGACAGACTACTACCGTCGAGAAAGACCCAAGCTGTTCTTCAGCGATGATGGGGAGATGACGCCGCTCTACCTTGTGAACGGTGTTCAGGAATTCAATTCAAGAGCCTCTTACACTCTGATCCAGCCTATTGGAGCCGCATCTAAAGAGTTTGAGAAATCTTTAGGTTTTTGAACTAGGTTCCGGGAGACATGAATCAACTCTGCGGGAAATTGCACGCTGGCGAGCACATCCACCTGCATTTTCAAGTCAGCAGTCTTTCAACATACTTGAACGCGAACCAAGCTAGCATCATATGGGAGGCGCAGTGGAAATTGCAGATGCAAAATTCAAGCTGTCCGTGGCAGGGTTATGTGATCTTAAACCCGTTCGTTGACTTGATGCTGAGATACGCCCCCCCAATTCTTCCCCTTCGTCAATCTGGATCCCGTCCGGCCCAGGGAGAACCTCTGACAGATATCCACCTATTTGGACTGTTGGCTTCTGCGAATGCGAAGGACCGTAGGCGCTCCTGATAAGTCGTCGCCCCCGGCAAGCTCTCCTGCCCATCTCCCCACACTGCTGCTAGCATCAACGTGGCGCGCAACGTGTATGTCGCGTCGTTGCCAGCATTGTGAAGCTCATGCGGCCCGTAGGGACAGCCAAGCGCCGTCAGGGGCCCTGCGAGGGAATATCCGCTCGTGGCACGTTCGCGTGCGAGGACTTCTCTGCTGAGAGTGTGCGTGTCTAGGATGGCGGCGACAGTCTTTTCCTTGTACATGTTGAACCCGATCCTTTTGAGGGTAGCCAGGTCGCCGTCAGTTGAATGGCCAACGACAATGACCTTGCGGAAATTGCGAGCGTCGGCCATCTTCTCCCCGTGCTATCGTGCTATACGATACGCACCACGTTCGTGATGACATGAAACACCTGCCCAGCAGCTATGCGTACTGTCTCAGCAAACTCACACTCCTGAAAGTCAGTCACATCGCATCCCTCAAAGCCCCTGGATGCATTCAGAGTTGATTACTGATGGGTTCTGATCTGTCGCTTGCGTGGTAGGCCTCCAGCTGCTTGGTTGAAAACGTGTCTGGTGTCAATAGAGGCAACTCCGACTTCCCTGATTTTGGGTTGATCTCTCTTGTGATCCAGGATAGCTTGCCGGCAGCTGTGTGATACTTCAAGGTCCAGCGATACAATGACGGCATCAAGAAATGAGCAAGTCGCCGCTGGCTCAGTCAGTCTCAGTTGCAAGAGCAACTGTTCCAGACCTTCTTGAGCCCCCCTCTCCTTCCTCTCCTTAGGCGCAGGGCAGGCAGGCAAGCGGGCTGCAAGAAAGATCAGACGTACTGAACCCTTCACCCCAGCAGCTCTACCCAAAGTGACTGCACAACACTGCTGCGAGACAACTACTAGATCTAGAATTATAGGAGCCATTGATAAACAGGTCAGTATACCATGCCCCATCTCAAAGGACGGCCTTTTGCCTGGAATGAAGTTCTGAAGTCGTTGCAGTAGTGCAAGGCCGGATAGCTGGGTAGTGGGAATCGTTGTGGGGAGAGGGACTCGGTAGGTCTCATTTTTATTGCAACCCGCTTGCCAGGTAGAGTAGCATTCACCAAGTATTTCCATAGCGCTATAGCAGCTGGCAAAACGAATATCGCCAGTTATCACGAGGGTGTTCTCATAGACCTCCAACCACTTATCAATCCCGTCGCCCACCGGAGACAAAATCTTGGAAACCAAAAACATACAACACCAGGTATTCGCTGGTGGTCACCCACCCAACTACTAATCCGGCCCTCACATGGATCATGGTTCGGAGAAATGTCCTCCAAGTATGGCAAACTTTTCTTCCGAGCATGGTAGAAGGGTCATGGACCTGCGGCCGGGTACAGTGTGTGTTTTGACTTCCGGCACGGCTGGTGCCGATGACATCCAATGATCGTGTGCAAAAATCCCAGCGGCAATGCATGGAGCCCGCCGCTTTGAATGCCATGCTCAATATCCTAGGGACATTCTGAACCCCCGCCCATCAATGAACCCCCTGTTCAATTTAGGAAATTGCCTCGATCCCCAACTAGCCATTGAAGTCGCGCTTTTGACTACCTTATTTTGCATGGTGAAGGAAGATAGAAAGTCACGTGATCTCTCACATATTTCCCAAGGAAATGTTGATCTCTGACATTTCCTCAGCTTGACCTACACGAATGAACGCACACTTCTAGGCTTATCACGTGACCACGTCCTAACCTTGGCCGACTCGTCCATCGACGGAGTAGATCTCCACCGTTCAGTGTCACTTTATGGAGCGGACAGATGAGCCCTCATCTGCTTGTTTCAATCCTCCTCATCAGCAGCCATAGCAACCTTGAAAATCTGACCGGGTGAATGAATGACTTGATCTCTTTTCCTATGGCAGCACAGAATTTCAGAGGGCTGACTGATAAACCTGCAAAAAGCCAGGGTGGGGAGCGATGCATATTGCATGTACGGTATTATGCATACATAGCGTCCCTTATCTTGCATACTGGCTTAGCTGGGCTATGTGGAAACCGCAACCATACCGTTTCAGCACTAAACGTCACCGTCTGGACACCGTCTACATATCAGATGATATGTAACCCACCCCACCCTGACAAATCACAATGTGCTTTGTCACCTCATAGCGAGAGGTTTATATGTAAAACATTTAGGATCAGAGCCATCATCGATCTTTTTGTAGCAAGAAATTTGAAATGTCTTATGCATAAGGAGGGGGGACAGAAACAGTAAAACGACTTCATCTCCGACGTATGCAATGGGCACGATACTTGAGTGAAACCTCAAAGATATTGTTAATGCATAGTGGTTGTGTCTCACTTCAGTTAGGCAAGCTTAGCCCAGTTCCAGGCAGAGCCAATCGCCGACAGGGCATCAGTTACTCACGTCACAAGGAAGCAAAGGCAGAGCTCGTATCAAAAGTGGCAAATGTAAGGTCGCCTTGAGTGCTCCGAAGACCATGAGTGAATGCTGAGCCAATCTGCAGCTTTTTCCGCAATGTGCTAGACTTGGACCCGGATGACATCTGGCTTCGGCTCTGTGACGGAAATCCCGAATCAATAGGATACTGCCAGGCCTTTCTTCACGATTATGTCGTCAACTCATTGGAGAAACGGGTCAGTCTTGGACCAGAAGAGTACGAGCTTGCGAGGACTGTGACTTGCACCAAGACGATATTGGAAGTTTGGAAGGGCTTGGTAAGGCATGCCGACGATCACGTTCTACAGGCAAAAAGGAGAAGTGATCCAAAGAAGTCGGCGCACTGGACGCTGTCGGTGTCAGAGCGTTGCACAGGACCAGTGTCCAAGATCAGCCTGGTGAGTCGCCGAGGTGCCGTCCGCAGCGCTTTATCCCACACTTGCTGAGGTCAGAGTTCGCTAGTGGATCCGAGAGGGACTGACAGACTCGCTGGGATTACAACGCGACCAAACGTTCGAGAAGGTGGAGATGACCGAGAAAGATGTCTTGTTGATTTTGACGACATTGTGGCAACGGGCAGACGATATACCCTGCACCGCATCTGAACGCGTTGCCTTCCACTTTGTGGTTCTGATGATGGCCATCGGAGGCTTTCGTCAGGGGACATTGACGCGCTTTCTGTATAGCCAAGTCAGACTGGATCTGGTGCAGGATCCATCCTGCAAAGCTCCCCACCGACTGGTAGCTACGCCTACTGTGTTGCACAACAAACAGCAACACAAGAAGGTGATGAATAGTCAAGACCACAAGTCAGGCCGCTCTTTTCAGAAAATGGCACTTGTAGCCTGCTGACTTGTGATTTTCCAGACTGTCATTTAGCGTGACATCCATGCCTTGCCTTCTTACCGACCTCTCGAGCTTGATCATCAGCAAGGCTCTCAAGGATAAAGCATTCAGCGGAAAGTATGGCTCCGCTCTCGAGATGCTGTCGGTACCAAATCTGCAAGGACAACATCTTATACCACTGCCGTGGGATAAATCCATGCTGGAACGCCCCATATTCGAGATATCGCCCCAAAAGTACCATCAAATATGGCAGCGCACTCTGCTCGTGCTAGGCTGCCGAAGAATGGATCGCCCCTACTCCTTGCGCGTAGGCGCGGCTGGACGAGTGGATGGTAAGACATGCAACGCCCTACAATGACCACCAAGAAGGTCAAGCTGAACACATTCAGGATCCTTGACGTCCGCAGTACGTAGTCACATCATCTCGAATACGGAGGCTGTGTTCCGAAAGAGCTATCAGCCAGTTCATACAAAAGAGAACCTGGCTGCTATCGCCTTTTCTACTGTTGCGGGAGACAATGAGCTTCTTTTCGAAACTCTTCGACAGTCCCTACTCACACGTGATGATAACGCGCCTATAGACCCGCATCCAGAGGATTACGCAAAGTGGAATCAGCGGAGCGATATACAAGAGCTCGACAAGCAACTTGCCGAGGTCCCACGTACAACGGCAGCTGACAAAGAGAACGCACAGAGGATTGCATCTCGGCGTGGCCATATTGTGGCGACACTGTCGAAACTCCAAGTTATGCAACGTCGTGAGGAATACTTTCTTGAGGCCGACAGGTTAAGAGGCCAGGGACGTTCAACAGAGCACCTCGTCAGCAGAACGATGCGTCCGAAAGCCGGACGCTATACTGTCAGTTCAGCAGCCGCGACGATTATCAGCCGCTACATGGTACGATGTTCGGGAATCGACATGCTGGCCACGACAAAATACATTGACCTCCTTGTCGCTTTCCTCTCTAACAGATTCTCGGAGGTCGAGCACCTCGAAAGCACTGCGATGACAATACTCACGAGTCATGGCATCGATAAACAGGCAGACAAGCAGCTTTTCTTGCAGCCGCCGACGATTGAGCCGCCATTGCCAGTGGAGAAAGGACACATAGGAGTCAACATGGCTACTGAATATCGGTGTCTGTTCGGTTGTAAACCACTGAGCAGCAGATATGCTCTGAACAGACACGTGGCAAGCATTCATAGAGACACATTTTCAACACCGTTCCACTGCCCCGAATGCTTGTCGCAAGATAAGAAAGAAATCATCATCAATGGGCTGTCCGAATGGATCATCCATGCTACGAGATACCACGGGAAACGCAACGCACCATATTGCCCTCAGAAATCGTCGCTGGCTAGCTCAGGGCGATCTCGCCGCATCAGATCATCCCAAAAGGCGGAATGCAAGCTTTGCCAGGGACAGTTCGCTGCCGGCAATGGGTATTCAAGGCATATGAACTCGGCGCACCTGCATCAAGGCCTCTTCGATGAGCCTTTTTCCTGCCCGGAATGCAAAATCGCGGGGGTAGAAGCTTGGATCGAAGGGATTGAGTGCTGGCGCGAACACACTTGGGAAGTGCATGGTTACAAGGGCCAGACAGGGCACAGGAAGTCTGATGAAGAATCTGAGGCAGCTGGGCTGGGCGGGATGGGTATGGGGAAGAAGAACATACGGGTGTAATCCCAATGGCGCTATTGCAAAAGACACCATCTGTGGTACCTTTTTGCCGAATTTGAAATCGAACAACATGCGGGCGCTTAAAAGCCGAACACGAAGCGGGGTCCCGCGCTTGACTCCCCTTACGCAAAATGGCAACAGGCAATGAGGTCCGCCCTCTGTATTTATGTGTAATATATAATACAAAGTGGGATGTCTGCGAAAGAAGTAACAGTTTTCGCACGACGAATAAGCCGCCCTACGAAGTTGCGGTCGCGTTCGCTTTGACAACATGTCGAAACGTCAGCAGATAACTCCGCTCCCCCTGAAGCCGTACGACCTAGAGGAGATCCGCAAAAGTCGGAAGCGTGCAGCCACCAAGTTTTCCAAGCGCCGCAAGACGTTCTTGCGCAGGGCGCATGATCTGTCGCAAGATTGTCAGGCCAAGGTGTACACCTTCATCGAATACAATCGCCGCACATGGGTCTTTACGAGCGAGCCGGATCAAGCGTCATTTCCGCCTACAAAGGATGAGATTGTGAGCCGAGATGCTTCCGAAACAGGCCATACTTGACTGACTGCTCATAGCTTCGAATCTACCCGCTTCCGGAGATATTCATACCTAGCATGTTCTCCACCTTGCCTCAGGTTCACAACGACAAGCATGACGTGGTAGATTCCGCGCTGTCAGACAGGTTTGATACTCATGTCGCTGATCAATGAGCACCAAGCAATCGTAGGGATTGCAGGCGAATGCCGCCAATCGTTCGACAGAGGCAGTTTGTATGGCGGGCCGGGCAATCGAGTGAGGACCAGACCGATAAGTCCATCGAATTGCAGAACTGCGGCGTAGGAGGCACGCGACAAGAGGAACAAGAGAACTCGCACACAGCAAGGACCCCCCCTCGTATCTTCCCTCCTCACTGAGGTATGACGTGCAGTCGAGGCCCACTGTCACCGCTGCCGACAACTATGCGGGAGTCGGGTTGACTGGTCTTCCATGGCGGGCGCGGTGCTGGAGGATCTGCCTTACCACTCGTCCAAGATATGCCAGGCTCTCCGTTCTTCTTTGATCCCTGTTACTACGAGTTTTGAGTTGAAATCAGCGCCATCGCAAATGGGCTATCGTCGGGGCCGCTCTGCATGCTGGCTTCCGATATCCTTCAAAGGCTCGTAATTATACGATGGTTGTCGTTGGAACTTGGGATTCTAGGATGTGTTGGGTGCTTCACAGAGGAAACCTCAGTAATAAAGATCTTAAACCTGGGCCACGAGCTCTGTGGCACGTGAATGACACTTACACAGACATGTGTTGATCAACATCGTGCCTGGTCGCAGTTGTCTCTTCATGAGGCCCTCTGGAACTCCTCGGAGACTGGCCTTGACATCCAGAGTAGCCCACCTTCAACGTCACTCCAAGCACCATATTCGTGCCTCTGACCATCACTACCCGAAGCGCTAGGGGCCTGCCGTCGTTCTCCCCTGCTCGTGAGTCGATGAGAACAGTGACGTGACGGCCACGACTAGCGGAGGGACAAACTGAGGGAAGCGTGGCTTACTCATCGTAGAAGTCTATCTATAAATACAAAGGCTTTCCCTTCCACTTTACACAATTCATCATCCTCTCAGCACAGCTCCTCCTTCCACTCACCCTGTGCAACGACCAGAATACACGCCATGAGCCTTTGGAACACTTTGAACTCTCCAGGCGAGAGGCCTCCAGTCCCTAATCGAACAACTACCGCAACGGATAAGCAAGTTGTGCAACCACACATCGGATCCGTCAAGGTTACTTCCGTGCAGTCTTCAGACAACCCCGACCATGACCATCGTTCAGTCGGTCAAGCGGTCTTGTTCGCCAAGGAAGCGGGGCAAACGACGACCAGTCGAAAAGTCAGCAGGCTGACCCCCGACGTGGCGACGCCTGCCGCTCTCCCATGTGGCCTGCTCGAAATTGGCAAGACCGTAGCCACTCTCAGTGACGCATCTCTCCAAGCTGATCTTCCGGCTTCTTACAAACCAAAAAAAGCACGTAAGCGATGCCCCATGAAGCCTCATAACGCAACGATGGAGAAGGGTCCGTAGTGACAAGTTTTCCCCACCAGCGTTGTCACGGTCGAAGCCGGGCATTACCCAATCTCGTCCCAAAAAACGCGCCAGAGAATCACCGTTCGAGCCGAAGCCGAAGAGAACCACCATCACAAAGGCTGCCAAGCTCAGTAATCGCCAGGATTTTGAGGTAGAAGACTTTCAGGGGTTCACTCGGCAGCCAGACGGATCCATGACTTGCTTGGCGATCTGGGCTCCTACAGAAATACCACTTAGTGATGTAGTTGGTCCAAGAGCAATGGAGATTTGCGAAGAGGCCATTGTGTCTAAATTTGGCGCGGAGGAATGGGCGAAGCAGAAAGCTGTTTGTTTCGGCGAGGCTCCAAACCGCACCATGTAAGCAGCCCCATCAAGTCTGATTCGGGTGCGGTAGATGGTTTTCAATAGTGTACTTGTTTTGGATTTAATGTACGAGCTCGTTTGTTTGCACACACTCTTCCTTTATCTTATATTGTCAGGAGACTTTCCGACCGGTCAGTTTCACATCTGCACGCTCCCTACTCAAGCCTCACTCTCGGCTGTCTTTATCATAGCTCTTAGCCTTCGGGCATATCCTTACGATTGATCATCAGCCGAAAGTTGTCTTGGTTCTACCAACATCTCGCCGGCCTGCCGTGCATCTGCATGTGGCTTGTCAGGAGGCACGTATGGAGCCACCGAACAGGGGGGCTGGTTAGGGGGGAGGGACTGCGAAAGCGCATATATAAGGGCTGCGGAGGGCCAGAATTTTTATAGATGTAGTCCTATCCCCTGCCTAACAATTGACTGTGGATACCACTTGCGGAAGACCTCTTCACTATACTTATCCCCAACGCTCTGGCAGGACTCGTGCCCGGCATACCCACTTAGAAGCTGAGAGGACCACAGGGAGCTGTGTCAGTGCCCGTTATCCGTAGTGTTAATCTGGAGTTGATGCCGAACAACCAGCTGCGTGGGTAGCCCAAAACACTGTGGCCGTCCACCAGCGCTGGATCGTCGAGTTGTAGCCATTCCATGACGGGGTGTCGTTGCATGAACCGCACTAACGCAAGGACTGCCACACGTACGTTGGCAAGATATACTGAGCGAAGGTTGGGACAGTCCAAGTGATCGAGAGGGATGACGGTCAGTCCATTGTGGCGGCAAAAATTCATTTGGAGGTCTTGCAAAGCGGGAAACAAGGAAAAGAAGGACTGGAACATTGCAGGAGTAGTGTTTGCCATGTTCATCGATTGGATGTCGAGCTTGGTCACGGAACCCAGCGCCGCGTGCAGAGGGGCGATGGACTCAAGGTTCAGTGTGCCTTCAATCTTCACGTCCTGGATGCGGGCGTAGTTAGGAAGCACTGTCAGAATCTCACTCGCGAGTCGATCGACTGCGTTTCTCCGGCACGGGGATAGCCAGATCTGTTGGCACAGTCGGGTGAGTTGGACGTTTTTCTTCGGTTTCCGCGCATGGGAACAGGCATGGGAGATTGTGATCCGCTCGAGCTGTGGCAGAGAACTCAAAATCTGGTTCAGTCGATGGATGTCCCCATGGCGACTTCTAGACCCCTCGTCCGCTACGAAGTGACGATAGCGTCGGAAGGCCTGTAAAGCTTTTTCCTTCTTCGACGGAGATTGCGACACAAAAGGGTGCGCTTCGTACACCTGGAGCGGGTGAAGCTGCCACGCTTTGTAGTCGCACTTCGGCCACTCGCCATGATACACCGTGAGAGCTCGTGTGAGCGGACTTGTTTGTTTGATGTGCGCCAGACCCGACAGTGCCGAAAGGGTGTTGAGTACGCAGAGGTGACGCGAAGCCTCGGACAAGCAGGCATGGTTGAAGTGACTGGAAGTCAGTGCCAAATTGAGAAGGCTTCGCGAGTCTAGATACGAGACGAACTCGCGGATGATCTCATAGGGCATCCCTTCCATGGTGAAGGTGGGCGGACGCAGGCTGGCCCAATTCAGCGAAGGCGCAGGCGCAGGCGCACAGTAGCGTAGATATGGCCGTTGTTTTTCTTCTCCTGTTGAGGCTCATCCTGGATTATCGCAATCCTGATTAAAGCATGGCATGATTATGGATTTTGAGTTTCTCATGGACTGTAGTGGGAACCTGTCAGAGTTTATTGTCGACTACGTAGGCAGTCACAGTGGACGGATGGGGTCGCGGTGTGTCAATGAGATGCGTCATTCAGCGGGCGATGGTGGGTGCACAGCGGCGCACCCTGGGTCAGATCCGACCTGAGGCTTCCCCGCTGAGCGAACACACTATAGCCGCGCGGTTGCGCAACCTGGCATGAGATGACCACAGTACCGTAGAGACTCAAGCCGCTGCGGAACGTTGGAATAAATCAGATTATTGACCATTGATTCATGGCTTTCTAATTTGCACTGATCCTATCTCTCCCAATCAACGCATGGCCGATGCCGGACAGGCTGGACAGGCTGCATGGGCTGGACCAGCTGGACCGGCCCCCTCAGGCGAGAAGTAGTCTCTGGGCAGAACAATGCATTGGCTCCATTTCATGGTGGATTAAATACTGCGTTGCGATGTCCGCTTGCAATCTCTGTGGAAGATGACGTTTGCCTTGATTGAGTATTCTGACTGCTGATTGTGCCACGCAAGCCGCATCCGAAGGAGAAGCACGTCTCACCCCGCTCACCACGTACGGCAAACGAGTTATGCGGACAAGCGGCTAACAGCTTGCAAGATCCATTTTGGGTGTAGATAACCTGAAGCCCATCGACCTTCGCACCCAGTCTTCATACTCAAGAAAGACCTCTTCCACAACGCTGATGACCTCCGCTATCTCCCTGGTTTGCTCCCGAAGCACCTGTCGTTGGTAACCTCCCTGTTCGCGCAGGATTTCCAGGCGTCCGTGATTACTGCGCTGCTTGTCGCGCAATGCGTGTACTGAGATCCCTCCCGACTTACTTTCCCATCCTCACCATGCGTGTTGACCTGGTCATCGCGGAGAGATCCGTTTTACCTACGTCATCAGAAGATGGGGGAGAAACCCAATTATGGCCACGCCCGTTGGCGTTGCCTCCACGGTGCTCCTCTCAGAAGCCTCGGGACTGTTCCGAAGCGGCGTTGGATGCAAAGATCAAGGGTCTTCGCGACGAGAACGACAGATTGAAGCAAGAGATGTATGCGAAGTCTGGCCTTTTGTTTGAAAGCAGGGCATTGGTATAGTAACCCGAAGAGCTGGGTCGTAAGCGAAAGGCACATCAAAAGACTCGAGCGCGTCGAGGATGTGAAGAGCAGCGGTGAACCGGCCGGCATGGCAGGCATACTCCAAAACAGACACTTGTATGCCATGATGTGGCACCTCCTGCGTGGGGCTGGCACCACAGCGGATCAGCTCGGATATCATCTCGTCATCGGCGAACGGCGAGCGTATGGCGTACGAAAACGGCGTGTAGCCGCAGCTGTCTCTGATGTCGATACCATGCTGGTCAATCAAAAGGGCAGCCACCTTCTGGAGGCCCATGGCCGCCGACACATGAAGAGGCTTGATGTCGGTCAGACGCGGCGAAGCGCCATGGGTGCCAGAAACGAGGCCGAGGATGCGAGGGGTCAGCATACCAAGTGGATGAAAGCCGTGCTGTAACAGGTGGAGAACCACGGTATCTCGACCTTCCTCGACGAGAAGCTCGAGACAGGAGATTGTGAAAGAGTCAGGATACATATCTCTCACTCGAGATTGCGCCGAGAGGAAGTGATCCCGGTAGACCTGCTGGTAGGCGTAGATGTTCAAATTCTCTGAAGGAGACAGCTTGGTGCCTTTCCAACTTCGCGCCTGCCATCATGGCCTTGTTCAGAACCGAAGTGGCGACATCGTCTTCTTGGCAACGCGCTGCCCAGATGGTGGACGAGGCACGCGAGTATTGAACGTTGTTTGCATAGAATAAAGGGGTATAGGCATGTAGCAGTTGCTTGCAGCTTCGTAGGAGCGCCGAGATGGACTTTTGGTCGCAGCGGCTGATGATGCCGTTGAGGAGCTCGGGAGGGAGGCAACACAAAGACCCATGTTGGACGACCGTGCAGTCAGAAGTGAGCTCACGGGAGCCAGTGGGTGCCATGCCGGTCGTAGCGAATGCCATGCCGGTCGTAGCGTATGCTGTGTGTGTCTTCCGTGCCATGGACGACAAGGTCAGCGTTGTGCTCGTGGGTGAAGATAGGGTGGGTGAAGATGGGGTGGGTGAAGAAGAGCTCGAGAGGGAAGGATAGGTCGGTGAGCCATCCTGGCGACAGGCATGCACTGAAAAGGGAGACCAAGTTCTCTTCATATACACACATGCGCCACTTAGCCTCTGGGCTGGCCGGCGGCCACGGCTGGCAACCACATGGTGGCACAGCAGGAAATTATGGCCAGGCCCAGATGCGTCGCGACCTGATCAGAGGGACAGGTTCGTCCAGGAAGAGTACGTCGACGAGTACGCCCAGGACGAGTACGTCCAACGCGAGCCGTGGGACAGACGCGGCGTTCATTGGCTAAGGATGCAGGCACAAAGGGGTAAACAGGGGGGGGTGGAAGAGTGGCAAGTAGAAAGGGTGGGAAAGGGGGAACTCATGGGAACTGTGACGCGCTTCTGTGACACCGGCTTTGTGAAGCCGCTTCTGTCTCCGCCTAGACCAACAGGCCACAAGAAATAGACCACAAGAAATAGACCACAAGAAATAGACCACAAGAAATAGACCACAAGAAATAGACCACAAGAAATAGACCACAAGAAATAGACCACAAGAAATAGACCACAACAGTGATCATGCCCTCTTGCCTGTCGCGCGGGACCGATATGATCCGAGTCGGCCTCGCGACTTCTGCCTCGACCTGTGCTGCCGCCGAGCCTCTGCCGCCTCCCTCTTCTTTCCGACGATGCTCCTTGCCGAGATACGTCACAACATGGCCACATCACGCCAACCCTCGAATCATCATTCAGGTCGCGGCCTGGCTACTCCGCACGGGTGCCTTGGGAGATGCCGTGCTTGCGTCTCGTGCTCCTTGACTCCAACCCTCGCTTCACGCGATGCCAGACGATCCCTCACGCAGGCAGGCGACACGCCATGGCCTGTAGGGCCTAGACTGCATGCCATCTACACCTTCCCTGTTTTTCAACATTCATGCGCATACCTTGGGTGTGTTGAGGGACTGTACGGCAAGTGGGAAGCCAATGTTATAAATCTGGACACGCTCCACCAGTCTGCCGTCTTCATCGCGCCCGCCATCTCTGCTCGACTATACATCGATCCAATACAAGAGCCTCTCAATGATACCCTATACAGGAGCCTCACAACATCGTTCTTCTCCCTTCCACTGCCCTTCGCTTTATGGTGACTTGGGTCCGTCCATATCCTTTCTCACGTCCTTCCACCACATGGTTACTCTATCGCCGCCTCTCCACCCTGCCTCCCTGGACATGGGCACGGCCGCCGATCCACTTGGAGAATGTGCAGCCGAGGCAGTGCAACTTGCCGTGGCAGCCTTGATTCATATGCACGGTGCTGGACATGCTGGGAACGCCGTCGACCCTTCTCAACGCTGCCTTTCGCCAAACATCTTCCAGGACGACGTGACGCAAGTCTCGGAGGCATGTTACGATGGAGATCCGACATTGTCCGCGGCCCAGGAGCTGTATGATGCATCATGGGACAGCCTTATCCCCCCCGACACTCCTTTCGGCCTCACAGACTTCATACCAGATGGGGTGTGTAGCGACATGGCATCTTCTGTCAGTAACATTTGTCTGTGCAACGACGGGTGCGACGCTTGCCTGTGCAACGACGGGTGCGACATTTGCCTGCGCAGCGGCGGATGCGACGATACGGTGTCGCAGGGGGCCTGCTGGGAGCAAAGCATAGACTTCACCGACTTTACCCCGCCCGATGTCTGTCTTGCCGAACAGACTCTGGATCTGGATCTGGTCATGGAGCCCTTGGACGCAACGTCCCTAGAGGAGGCGTTTGCTGAGCTTGGCGCAGAACGGCGCCCTGCGCAGGCCTCGAGCTCGTCTGCCTCGCCAACATTGCCAGTCAGCGCACCGGCGACGTCAGCCGAGCGTGGTCCGCGTTGTAGCGCTGTTGCCGTCCCTTTCTCCAACGACAGCTGCGACAGCTGCGCCCCGTTGTCGCTGCCGTCACCGCCGCCAGCGACTCAAGCAAGACGACCGCTACCGACCGAGGGAAGACGACCGCTACCGACTCAAGCAAGACGACCGCTACCGACACAGGGAAGACCTCGCGAGGCACGGCAGCACGACCAAGCCGCAGTGTTGAGTCAACGCGTAGGACGAACGATGGGAGGGAAGCAGCAGCCAAAGACGGGGCAGAGGAAACCGGGCAGAGGAGAAGTCAAGAAACAACAGGGAGATGTCCAAAAACGACAACGCGCATCAATCCGACGACGTACGCCACAGCAGTGTGAAGCCGGTCAGGAGTATTTTCTGGCATCAGCAGTCGCACTCCAGAGGGACGACCTCGAGCTAGTGTTCAAACCTCAGCGGAGAAGCCAGGTCTGGGTGTCCGGCGCCGGCACGGAAAGGGTCAAGCTTGAACCCCAAAGTATCACAGAGACACCGCGCTGGATGGACGTCCACCCGGGCGGCGCCGCTAGCTATGCTGTCCGGCTGTGTTGGAGCGCAGATCAAAACGTTCTCTGCGGCCAGGACCAGATTCGCGGAAAGAGGCTGGCGATCAGTCGTGAAATGGCACAAGATCTGCTGCTAGCTGTCGGGGAAAGTCATCCGTTAGATTATGAGGCTGTCAAGCTGTTGAGTGGAAGCATCACGACACGACGGGTCACACGGACGTAGGTGCGTCCGCATGGAACTACAAGAGATTGCTGGCGGCCGCACATTGGCTTGACTGAACTTGGCATTGGACTGAGCTTAGTATTAGCCCGAACTTGGTACTGGACTGAACTTGGTATGCTGGGCGAAGGTCACCAGAAGTGGGTGTCATCTGGTGAAGCTTTCTTCAGGGCAGAGACGTAGAGCTGTGCATGAAGAACCACCGCAAGAGTCGCTGTATTTCCTCCAGCATCCTTCTCCGTGTTCGTCGTCCGACATGTATGCAATGCCTGTTATTTGTTCGTATCCTGCGGAGTGTCTGGAATGGTCCTGTGTTTTCACACGGGTGCGAAAACAGCTGAACCGACATCCACATCCATCAGAAAAGCACTCTCTCCTTCACAGGGATGAGTCAATCGACTGGGAAGAAGCTACCAATGAGCAGCATCCGTCGAGCCTGCGCCGCTGGCTCCTTTATATGCTCGTTTCTCTGCAGCTGGCTGACATGCCAATGTGCCCGACGGGAACGGCCACACGATGGCAAGACAACGACAAACAATCAAGATGGTCACGGGAGGCAACCGCATTGGGAAAAGGGGCCAAAAGAGGCTTCTTGCGCTATGACGAGTATCTCTCCTTCCTAGCTATGTCTATCTCTCTTTCCTAGCCATGTCTATCTCTCTTTCCTAGCTATGTCGACTCCTCGCTCTGGCTGTCCTCGCCGCCGGTGCCATGGATGCTCCCACCGTGACTGTAGCTCGGGAACGTGAAATTGCTCTCTTCAACCCGTTCGTGATGCTCCAGGCATTCGGTCAACCATTGATGGCTGACTATCCAGAGCGGCTCCCGGTCGGGTCGTGGATCATGCATGAGGACGTGCTGGACGAGCGAGTCGTGCCGATTGAGTTCCTTTTCGGTGACGCAGAAGTGCGTCAAGACATCTGGCCGTACGCCAGTCCTGTGAGTGCCACCTAGCCTGACAATGGCGCTGCGCACACTGTCGTAGCTGTTACCTCCTTCGGGCAGAGGAAAGCTGCTCGTGAACGCGATCTTGCAGCCTGTGAGCGGGGCATATTTTGGATTCCGCCGCGTATTCATGAGATACTATAACACGGGCAGAAACTTGCCTTGGTCGTATGATCTTTGAAGCCATTCGAAAGGAACGATAGCCGCCTTCAGCTGCATGGCGCGGAAGGCATCCTTGTGCAAATCTCGAATTCTGTGGTCCGTAGAACATAAAACTTGTGTCGTTTCGTGAACCCGCTCATGGTAGCCACCGCCGAGCCTGTAAATCCAGCTCTTGACCTCTTGCAGAGAGATTCCATCAGGCAGTGGGCAGCTCACGGCGATATTCAGTGCCGGAAACATCTTCGGCTGGTGCGGGGCTGTTGGGCTGTTAGCAGGGTATGGTTTGACAGTCGGGCAGTCTTTGGCGCGCATTCGCGACGCGCCCTCGTCTTGTAGACAGACCGCTGTTGCGGAAGCAAACATTCTCCAGGCCCATTTTCCTTTATCCTTTCTCCGCAGGCCAACTACGCAGAAGCCCGTTCCGACCATAACCTCTAGAAATGGCTAGCAGGAAGTCAGTCGTGATCTTCCAAGATGGTTCAGTGGCTTGCGCATGGGGACAAATGGTGAAAAGCGAAAGGCGAATTGAGCGATTAGACCCAGACGCCGAGTGGACCAAAGCACGCATTGGCCGACGGCCAAGAGGCCCACCCCGTCGTAACAGGACTGGGCGGCGACAGTGAGCGAGGCACCACTTGTCACAAGCACAGACCACGTGCTGTCTGATTCGACTTCGGGTCGAAGGAGTGGTGGAAGGCATTGTTCGGAAATTGCTTGTCAAAGTCAGGCTTGCAATACGTGTTTTCTTATTTCTTTTGTTTTTTATGGCATGTGGTGAGGTGCAGATGGTACGTGCCTTGCAGTCAACTGGCCAGAAGCACATACAGACATTCGTAGCGTAGCACAGAGCAGGACCGTCCACGCGTCATGAGTGCCCCACTTCTGCTTCTCGTCCACGAGGCGACAGGCGAATGCTTCACAGGTCCGGTCAAGGTCGTGATTGCCTGTCCACTTCCGCAACATGTGAGCATGCAACTCACAAAGCTTTGGATTCAGTCGCTTGGCGGGACCTATCAGAAGCATGTTGGCTCGACAACGACGCACGTTTGCATTGAGCCGAGCCAGTACTATTCCTCAAGCCACGATGTCAGAACGGCAAGGGCGAGGAACATCGTCCTTGTCAGTCTGGGCTGGCTTCAAGATTCTTACGCCCTTGGCAGGTTCGTGGATGGTTGCGATTACGACCTTGCTGCGTTGTGCGCGCATGCCACTCCGTTGCGTGGGTGTGTGGTTGCCTTCACATCCAGCTATCCGCGACCTCGCGGCGTTTCTGGCTTCAAGCTTGTCAAAGACAACATCGCCAGCCTGGGAGGGCTGTGCGATCAAGAGGGTGAGCCCACCCACACTCTGACACACCTTTGCGCGACCGAGGAGGAGATTCATCGTCAGGGCATTTACGTGAGAACTGTCCTTCAGCGGGCGAGAAGCGACGAGGACAAGGCATTCTATCTCGTCAACCACCAGTGGCTTATGGAATGCCTGAGGCAGGGAAGAAGGGTAGAAGAGGACCTCGATATCCTGCCGCTGGCCTGGTGATGAATATGGTGACTCGCGAAGCAGACGCGGAGAGGGCCAGGTGGAGGGAAAAGCAGGAAGACGGGACATAGAGACGGGGCAAACCGAGGATGGCTGAGGATCGGGACATCACCCGCCGAGAACAGAAAGAAAAGACAAGAGGAACAGAAAATTCTGAACGATGGAGGCCTAAGGTCAAGTTGACCAGGTACCATGCGCCTCTGTGTGTTTAGCACCCACACTGCTGTGTGTGAATCTGCTGAAGGTCTAGTCCTCGAAATAGGGACGACCAGATTCACATGCAACCAAGAGTGCTGGTACGTAAGAGTGCTGGTACGTCAGGTCAGCTTCAGAGCAGGATCACGAACGTTTCTCTATAAAAGGCGGCTGCGCCCAGCGCACACCAGCTTCCAGATAGAACTTGTTTTTCTACTTCATACCCTCGCCAATCAACCTCTGTGATTTCGTCATGCCGCCCGACCTGCCAAGCTTTCCCACGCCCGGTTTGATCAACCCAACTTTAACGACGATGAACCACGAGCGTGGCTCGCAACCCAGTCCGGCTCAAACAACCTCGTCGACCGAGGGGACAAAGAACAAAGAGGCAGGCAAAGAATACCAAGGCGTCTCAACAGCGTCAGAAAATGCACAGACCGTGCCTGACATAGCATTCCAATCCGCCTTCGCATGCAGGACATCTCTCCCATCCCAGAATGCGAGGAGACACCCTGATGTCTTTCAATCGAGCACTATCCAACAACCACTGAACTATCCGGATTCCTGGCCAAGCGAAAGGGACCTTCGGAACATCGGCATCGAAGAGATAAACGGAGACTGGATCGGTCATGACTTCTCGCTCCCCGCGGCCACTCTTCCTGGCGCAGGGGAAAGTGTTTACTGCGAAGGAGAGCAGAAGCTTATTGACGACTGCAACCGCTGCACACTCGCCTGCCGGAACTTTAACAGCGTTATGGAGTGCGTATCCGGCGTAGTACCCACCACGCTGGTGCAACCGATACAGCAGTTTCTGTGTGAGCAGATCATCTATCCATCATCCGGGGGGCTCTCGAACGCAACGAATCGAGATGCTCGACATCGTGTACCAAGCTTCACAGTCGAGGCCCCATTCCATTGCAGGTACGGATATAACATCACGATTGGAGAACATGTCACAATCGGACAGCGATGTTACTTTGACGATGGCGCACGAGTAACGATCGGCGCGAATTCCACAATTGCACGTGGCGTCCGAATCATCACAACAGATGACCCTGGCCAGTGTGATAGACGTCTAGGTGTTCACAGGCTGGCGAAGAGCAGGCCCGTCATAATCGAATCGTCCTGCTCCATCGGGGCCGGGGTGCTCATCTGCCCCGGTGTGCGCATCGGTGCAGGAAGCATCGTTCTACCTGGGACCATTGTCACATCGGTAGTGTCTCTCCTCGAAGAAATAAGGTCTCTCATTGACTGTCTACAGGACATCGCGCCTGCAGCTTTGGCTTTCGGAAATCCCCAGCAGTCTGTCGGTGTGCCCCCGCAGGTACCAGAAGCGCCCTGCTAAAGCGGGTGGGTGAAAGCTCTCCCGCCAGTGGCGCTTAGAAAATGCCCATCACTGGGTGAAGAAGTCTTCGGGGATAGGAATCGGGTGCGTAAAGTGAGGATGATGAGTATCCCGCTACTGCTGCTGCTGCTGCTGATAGTAGCCATCATGGACGCGGGATATCAGTCAAGCCCTAGAGGCGAAGACAAGCACTGTAGTCTCTAATTATGAAGGAGCTCACGTCGAGGCCGGCACCTCCCGTCCGCAAGATCAACGAGACATTCATGTTTGCCAAGACTCTTTGCGGAAAGGAAAGGCGACGTCGCCGGGGAGAAGCATTTCAATCAATACACTGGAGTTGTCACTGCTAGCCATGTACGTTGTAGACCGCTTCCACGCGGTCCTTGCTCGTCAAGTCGATCAAAGGAAACGACAATTTCCGACGAACTGCGTAGCGCTCCGTACGCTCAGTTTCGCCATGGTCTTCATGGATGGGAGCCAGAGCATCTTCGCTTCGTCCACGGATATGTCCGCCTTGACTCCGGCCCGGACATCACTCCATTTGATCCACATGAGGTCAAATTACTGGCGCGGTTTCATGATTGAGCACCGTCACGTCAAAGGAAGCTGCATATGCGGCGATGGCCATATCCAGCTTGAGTATTATGGCGTAATTGCATACCAATATATGTACATCATGCGCATCCTCACAATGGTCTGGTACATTGCCAGGATCAGGTGAAAGCACCGTACGCAACCCGTCATCGACAGATTGATACTCAAGGAAGGCAAACAGACGAGCGGTAGTCAAATGTTGCCTTATGCTTCAGCTGATGAGGTAATTGAGGAGTACGCCATCAGCTAGTCTTTTCTCTAGAATCACAACTCGGGTTGTCTGTGTCTTCGCCCTCGTCTTCATCCTCGTCCTTTTTCTCGTCTTCATCCTCGTCTTCGCTCTCGTCTTCGCTCTCGTCTTCGTCCTCCTCTTCGCTCTCGTCTTCATTCAGTCTGTCGTGTATGTACGGACCAACGTCTACTAGAGACCCCTGTTGCGAGCAGGCGTCTAGCCAATCATGGTTGACAAAGGAGACGTTGGGGAACCGCGAGAAGACAGCTTGTGGGAGCTTGTTGTAAATCGCTGGTGAGGCCACAAAATGAGTAGTATCCGTCGAAATACTAGGTAATAATACCCCTCCAAGATGACCAACTTCTTCCACGAGCTGCGCCTGGGTCAGATAGGGGGACTTGTCGGCTATGAAAATGCCACAGTTATACAAAGGCCTTCTGGGGTCGAATCGAGTAGCGGTGGTTTCTTCCTCGCTCTCCTCACTCTCTTCGTCCTCTGCCTCGCTCTCTTCTTCACTTTCGTCCTCACCTTCCTCACTCCCTTCGTCACTCTCTTCGTCACTTTCGTCCTCACTCTCGTCCACGCTCTCGTCCTCACTCTCGTCCACGCTCTCGTCCTCACTCTCGTCCTCGTTGTCATTCTCACTTTCTTCCTTAATCTCTTCCTCACTCTCTTCTTCACTCTCGCTCTCACTCTCAAACCCTCCCTCACACTCCCCAGACAGGGCCCGTCGTCCTCGAGAAAGATCGTACTCAAAGGGGTCCATCAAGCGGCCAGCTTGCAAGGAATCTAGGAGCCAGTCAAAAGAGACAATCAAATCCCGTTCCTCATGGAAACTAATTGGATGCAATCTTGGATGTTGATCCTCAGAATCGCACATCGCGGAAGTCTCCCTAATGTACTGGATGCAGTGTTCGACAACCTCGGTCGATACTCCAGCTGGCAAGAAGCATTTGATTGTACCACCGAAGGTCTGCGTCATAGTGATGATGTGCTGTCGGGGCTGGATACGGTGTGGTTGCGTCGATTGCGTCTGAACGTGTGCCAGTTGTGTCTCACGTGAGCTGTGCCCCGTCTCTTATACTGGTCTGCCACCAAATAGCTGTGGATGCGTCATCCGGCCTGCTCTACATGTCTGATTTCGCATGAAGAGTTCAGGGTTTGGTGATTCATTTCTAAGAGGTCAATTCTCGGATTCCAGGTGCTCGCTAGTCAGGGGACTTTGTCCTGTGTGTCCTCACAATCAACTTTGAATTCGAAGTAGCCTCTGTCACGTGGTGTTATGTTGTCGGAAGCGAACATGGGGCACCGACAAATGGCAGTCGTGCGACCAGCATTCCATTATGGCACTGAGGTGGGGCCGTCAGCCGGCCGGGATCGTCATCACTTGTGATCGGCCAATACACGGTGTCACCATCATTGGTCATTGGTGTTCCATACAACTACGGGGGAGTGGTGGAGTATTGCCACAGCAGACTGTATTGGGAAGCAGAGTGTACATTGTCCGCATCCATACGCTATAGAACTCCAAGAACTCCAAGAACTCCTTCCGTG